GGGAATCAATGGGAAGACCAAAAAAACCTGCCTGATCCTGACAATAGTTTCTTTAAGGTATAAAAATGTCAGTGCTTCTTCGCAAGATTTACTGGCTTGTATGAGTTTTGAAATCTTGCCAGGGACTTTTGCATGATTGCCCTTCACCATTACGTGTTCACAAAAAATCTTGCCAGAAGGTCAGACAATGGTTTCTACTTGGATCCCCCGCACATTTTTATCACACAGCAAAGAGGGGAACCTGAGATCTTCTTTCACCAGTAAACCTTGAAAAGTTGCTGTATATCTTATAAATGTTTTTTCAACAGATCTAAAATTTATTTTAAATTGAATTTTACAGTAATATTTTCCTTTTGTTGCAGTGGTTTTGATGCCACAGAAATAAACCTTAAAAAGATTCTTAAACCAGCCACAGAAAATAACCATTTAAAGTAAGTACTACAAATTACAAAAAATAGAATGATTACTTATTCGAAAACTTACGTAAAAAAAGTTTCTTTAAACCATGCAGTGTAACTTAGAGTAAACTAAAAAGTGAAAGTTTTATGCAGTCATTTTTTAAATTTTTTGTTCAAGGACATACAGCCCCGGGAGTAGTTTTTAAGTTAAAGCAGCTTTGAAATGAAATTTTTTAAAAACTGTATTAAAAGTAAAATATTATGTAGTGAACAAAGACATTAGAGGATATTGTTTAGTTAAGCTCGACCGTTATTATGGGTGTGCAAAATTTCAGGTCATTTATTTACTCCGTTTTTCAGGGTATAATTATTCAAATTATTCTTAATTTTGTAAAAAATGAAACACTTTTTTTGTGAAAAGTTGAAACACTTTTTTCACTGGAATCATGCAAAAATTTACAAATTTCAATTTATTTCTGAGTATATTATCATTTGCATATCTTTCTGTTTTAAATGCTAGTTTATCTTTGTAAAGGAAAATTCCCATTTTTTATTTTTTTTGGGCTTTAAGAACTCGTGGAGTTGCTCTCAAGGGATGGTTAAGAAATTTAATGTTTCCTGTTTTGATAGATAGAATGACGGGCAACTTACACATATTTTTTTTTAGAAAAAATCTGTTAAAGGTGGTGCAAACCAAATAAGTAAATAAGTAGGTGAAGAAAGGTTTTCCTAAATATGGGATAAAAAATTCCCATTTCATTCATAGATCCGACAATTTCCCCCCTATAAATGTTGACCAAAATAAACATTTTTCCCCATTATTAAAAAACAATGTTTTTGAAGGCGGGGGTAAAAAGAAATACCGGGATTACCATTAAAAAGGTGTTGTATCATGACAGGTAGTGGCCACGGCTTTTAGTTGCAAGACTGATGCACGTGAATGTTGATAGTGAAAAGAAATAAATTTGTGTTAGCGTGAACACAAACTAAAATTGTCGTAGTAAATTAAAGATCACTCTCTGCATATTGAATCAAGTTTATACATTATTGGTCTTTAACGAGTCCATTGTGTTTTACATTTCTGCTTAATGGCTTATAGGGATCAAATTTGAGAATGGGTCGTGTATTATTCATGATTTTGGATTGTATTTTATGTAATATTATGACAAAAGCAGAAGATAATTGCCAAATTTTGGTTTTCTAGACAAAAAATAAAACAAACATGAAGGCTACTTTGGTTTTTGTTTGTTAATGAGAATTTTAGTGACATTTAAAAAAGAAATACTGAGTGGTTTTATGAGACAAAACCCATTTATAGCAGTTTTAAAAAATATGACCGTCGTTACAGTAAAAATTGGTTTTTTTTTGGGCTGAGCCTTTTTCCCTGTATAAATTTTTTATAAGATAAAAATTTTCAGAAAAGCAACTTTTTTCATTGACCCTTTTTACTGTTATCTTAAATGGATTTTTTCCTCATAGATCCGGGGCCCTTAAAAAAAAAATATGCAAAAGATAAAAAAAAAATATTTTGGTTTAAAATTAAAAAATCTGGTATTGTGTTATTCTTAACCAAATTTGTTTAAAAAGATTAAAAACCCTTTAAATTTTTGGGGGGTCATTTTGGCAAAAATTTATTCTGAAAAAAAATTTTGAAAACGACCCAAAAATTTTTAGCATCCCTTTCCCCATTTTAAAAAAAAAAAAATTTTAAGTGAATTTCCCTTTTAAATGGCATAGATTTCATTTTTAAGTTCACAATAAAAAACAAAAATATTGAAATGTTGAAAATAAAAAAGGGAAAAATATATTTAAAAATTTTTTTAAATTTTTTTCCCAGGGGTTTTTACAATATTAAACGATGTGCGGGGATCCCCCACCCACTTTGGGAAAAGCCAAAATCAAGTTTTTTAAAAAAACCAAAAAAAGGGTCCCCCTTGGGGGAACCCAGACCAGCCCCCCCAAAAAACCCTTTTAAATTTTTTAAACAGCAAAAAATCCAAAAAACTTTAATTCTTTCCCAATTCCCTTTAAAATTTTTTTGGAAGGGTTTAAGTTAACCCCAACCTTTTGGGCAACCTTAAAATTAGGGGAAGCTGGGTTTTTTTCAATTGGGACCAAAAACCAAAAAAAAAAATTTTTTGGGGGTTTTTTTTTTTTTGGGGCGGGAAAACCCAATTGGCCTTGTTCCCGCCTTTTTTAAAAAAAAATTTTTTTAAACAAATTAGAAAAAATTTAAATTAAAAAAGAAAATTATCCCAAAAACAAAGAATTTTTTTTTCGGGCGTTGAAAAATTTAGTTGGTTTTTAAGGCGGTTACCATTAAAAAACAATTTCTTTTTTTTGCCCCTTAAAAAAGTTAAAAATTAAAATCTTAAAACTTTATTTCAAAATACCCCGGGGTTGGAACAATAATTTCTAACATAAACAGAAACCAAAAGGGTTTATTTTGGGTTAAAATAAAAAATCATTTTTTCAAGGGTTTTTAAAACTTTGGGAAAAAAAAATTACCGGTTAAAAAAATTTTTTTTCCTTTTTGGTTTTGTTTTAAAATTTTTTACTTTCACAAAATTTATTGTGTTTTTTAAAATTTTTTTTTCCCCAAAAAAAACAAATTTTAACTTTAAAAAACTGTAAAAATTAAACAACCCCCCTTTTTTTTTAATTTGGTAAACTTTGAATTAAACTGTAAAAATTTTAAAACTTTCATTCCCTAGGGAATTTTTAATTTTTTAAAAAATTTTAAAAAAGGGTTTTTTTAAATTAATAAAGAAAATTCCCAAAAAAAATTTTGTTTGAATTTTTAAAAACGAATGTTTTCCCCCAAAAATGTTTGGGTTTTTGAAAAAAAAGGGAAGTTTTTTGCCTTAAAAAAAAGGGCTTTGTAATCTTTTGCAAATGATTAAACCCCCTTTAAAAACAGTATATTTTTTGCCAGAAGTTTATTCTTTTTACAAACAATATTCCATGTTTTTTTAAATTAAGAGACATTCCATTTTCCCACATTTTCCCCGAAAATCAATTTTTTATTTTTCCCCTCCAATTTCCCGAAATTTTATTTAAATACCAACTTTCACCCTTGAAAAATAAAATTCCTTTTTAATCCCTTAAAAAAATTTTTGAATTTTATTATGCTTTTTTAGGGAAAAAAAAAAACAAATTTTCTTTTAAAAAAAAAAAAAGTTTTTTTAAGAGGTTTTAAGATTTTGTTTTTGGGCCTCTTCGGGTATTTAAACCAAATTTTTTTTTCAAAAAAGGGGGAAAAATTTCCTCCCCCAAACCTTTGTTTTTAAATTATAGAAAATTTTTAAAAAAACCCTTTTTTAAAAAACCCAAAAAACCAAAATTTTTACATGAAAAATTTTAATTTTCCCCAATTTTTTTTAAATGGGGAAAGTTGGGGGGTTTTTTTCCCTTTATTAAGCAAAAATTAAAAATCCTTCTTTAAAAAACCTCCCTAAGGATTTCCCAAAGGGGGGGAAAAACCCTTGGTTAGTGGAAAGTTTAAAATTGCCTAAAAAAAAGGGGGTCAAAAAACGGCCCCCCCAAAACTATATTTGTTAGAAAAAATTAAAAACAAATGGTAAAAAAGGAAAAAAAAATAAGATAAATTTTTATAGAAAAAAAAATTCAAAATAGCTAGAATAACTGAAATATTTGTTTTGGCCTTTTTATAAAGTTTAAAAACAAAATTTTTATTATTTGTACAATTTTTGGTATTTATAAAACACAAAAAGGGTTCTTCTTTTGTTTTAAAATTCCACACATTCTACATAAAAAAAATTTTCTAAAAAGACAAGAATACAAAATATTATATGCATTAGCCTTTTGGGACTTTCAAAATTATTTATCAGTGAATATAAGAATTACAGCATGGTTGTAGAGGAAAATAAGACACTCGGATTGTTTTTATTTCTAGACATTGAGTCTTTAAGAAGATATGGTAAATCAAGTTAGCAAATGTTACCATTTTACACCTTACACCCTTGAGAGTCATGTAGATTATAGAAAACTAGAGAATACACTGTATCATGCAACTTTTCTCCCATAACTGAACAAGGCATTCCTTCTTAGGGAGTTGATTTTGTTGTTATAAGATTTTAAGGCACATAAATGTGTAAGTGGATATTTCCTCGTGTTGAAAAGGTAGCGAATTTAAATTTTCAGACATATCACTTGATATGAATAATGTATATTGCATGGATCTTTTTCAACCTTCTGTCATGTCAATTTTTTCAAATAAAACCAGAAATTAAACCCCATTTCTCTTTAAAAAGTAGTGTTTTTAAATAAAGACTTTTTTTTAAAGGTCATTGTTTAATGCAAAAAAAGGCCCTTGATGCCTTTAAAAATAATTTTTGTCACTAAAAGACCCTAAAAAGAGAAGAAAATGATTATATGTATTTTTCTGTCAAATTTAAATTTTTAACTATTGGAAGGGGAAAAAAAATTCAAACAGTTTTCCCTTTTGATTTATTTTTTTTGTATTTTGTTTAAAAGGGAAAATTTGTGAAAACCCGTTAGTTTTTTTACAAAGGGGTCAGCCCCATCCCCAACCAGTCCCCCCATGTTGTTGAGGTGTTACGTCACCGAACTAGTCATATCATGGATAGAAGAGGCCCAATGATTGATGAATTTGCCCTGCAAATAGATGATCAGATCTCTGTAAGTGTTTATTTATCTCTCTGGAAGACAAGGGGAGGTAATGATTGATCTATGGCACCCAATTATAGAGCCCGACCAAGGCTGCATTTTCACAACATTTTAAGATGGGACTTCCAATTGGCCGAGTTGGTTAAAAAAATTGACTTCAGACCACTCGCCCTTTACCCACTGTGCATTCAAATCCTGCTAGGGAGTTTGGATTCTTTTGTCAGGAGGAAGCTATCCAGCTATCTTATTGGAATGTTGGTGGTTCTTAAAATCCGGTGCCTGCTTGGAGCGAAAATAATGCAAGGGAGGGACAACTGAGGTGTTTTCTCCGCCAGTAAAGCCGGAAAGGGACTTAGTCGGCCAACACCTTTATGGTGTTTGATGGGCAGTTTAAAAGGCAACCCAAAAAATTTAAGCATGGTCCTCTTAGCAGATTCTATTGTTGTTGGCATATTCACAATCAGTTTTTTTGTTTTGTAAGACCTTTCTAAAATGAAGTAAAAATATTATTATATTTAAGGCAGGGAAAAAGTCGTCTGCCTAAGCACAAAATCTTAAATTCATCAGCAGAACAAAGTCGGTGAAAAAAAAATCTAAGATAATTTAAAATTTTATAGACTGGTTGTAGAGGCTTGTCTTAATCATTGATGGTAATGTGTTACCACTTTTCTGGATGTATCAGACACAAAATTTATAAAGAATGATTATGTTAAGATTTAGGTTCTAGACTACCACCACCTATGTAACCTAGACAAACAAGTCCTTAATTAGGATCATTTCTTTTCATTTACAATGTGGGTTATTACAAAATCTCAATAAAATCAGGTAATACTGTATATTTTATATTAAAAAAAAAACTTTCAAAGTTATTGCATTTATATGTTTTGTCCTCATTATGGACTGTATTGCAGAAAACAAAAATATGTTGTTGTCGTTTTTTTGCATTGTATTGAGAGAACAGAAAGATTTTGCCATTTATTGATCTAATTATAGGGAAACTTTAGACTTTTCTGGCATGATAATGTTAATAAATATAAAATCACTGTAACATTGTCTCTCTCCTGCAGGCAGTTTCTAACTTTCATATTAGGAAGGATAATAAAGGGGGAAAAAAAAACAACAATATCAAAATATTAAAAAAATACCAAGGCAATAAGTTATTTATGGATCAAATTTCACTGGATACTTTCACTGGTAAATTTATACACATTTGATAAAATTGGTATATTAAAGTCTATAAATTGAGGGTTGACTGCAAAACTGCAGTAACTTACAGGACATTAAGAAAGACTTACCACAGTCTTTCAATCAGCCCTGGAAATGCAAATTAGAATTGTTATTATATAAATATTAAGCCCTCCTTAACAACAGGAATATTTATTCCTAGTGGGAACTGGGTGTTGCATACAACAATATGTTTTGTGTCAAGTTTCAATCTTTGTGTTATCCTTGTATCATAATGTTGTATGCCATATGTTTAAACCTGCATGCCTCCAGATGAGCCAAAATATTTCAAGAAAATCAAACTTGAGAAGATAAAAAAATCACAATATTTGAAGAAAAGTAAAACAGATTTAAGACCCAAGTTATAATTGAAAATTACATGTTATTGTACATAACCCAGAAATGACAAGAAACAACATGCAAAGGTTGCATAGGTTCATTTTAATGTGTTTACGCAGTTTCATTTTCACTATGCATTATGTACTTATATGAATTAACTGTACATGTTTAACATTACTTACTCTCATATTTACCAGGGTCATGGGTTTTATCCCCGTTTACAAATGGTTTTCCACTGCTTTCACATAGAAATACATGGCTTAAGAAGAAATAAAGAATATTAAAAAATTCAGAGTAAGTTTTATGAAATTTTGTTGAACTAAAATCTTTTTATTGAAGACTGGGATTTGACCTTTAAATTGTCAAGATTTACAGGGCTAGAATGCCACCAGTATATTTGTGGGGGGGAGGGGGCGATTCAGGTAATTTTGAATGATTCATGGTCATTTCTTAAACAAGGAAAGTATAGTGGTACAAGCAAGAACAGAAGGGATTGTAAAGGAAGCTAACAAAGGTAGGCAGGTGGTTGTAAACATGTTTGTGAACTTAGCTGGCTACTGGGTTATGATTATGACACCACTGGTACATATGTATTGCCATCTTGGTTATGACACTTTAGTGCAGTGATGGGATAACTCCTAACTGCACTGAGATGATGACTTACTCTCTTATGCCTACAGTATTTAACCAAGATAATCAGAACAAAAGTTCCATGCTAAATGCTATCATTTTGGTTTTGAAATATCTGGAAATCCTGAATAACTGCTCTAAATTCAAGGAAATGCAAAATTCAGTTTTCACATTTTATGTGGTAACGATTGATAAAGCTGAAGGGTTGTTAAAGCTATAATTTATGAGTCCTATAATGTTAGTTATACGAGTTTCAACTAATCCACGCTACTCAAAACTAAGTTATATATCATAAATATTTTCATAAAAGTTAATATACTTTATTTTCCAATGTGAAATCAATTTGCTTTTAGAAGAGGAATAGTTGAAAGCCTGACATTGTGGTTTGGAAATCAATAATCAATGAAGAGTGTCAGATTTTGATAGTTGTATTTTGTAGATATAAGATATTCAAGTGATATAGTTCAATAAATCAATTAAATGTTTTCAAAATACAAGTTCTTGTGACAATGTAAATATAATATACAAATGATTAAATGGGAGAACATGTTTTTGCTCAACTATTCGACAAATATGGAGAGCTGTTGTTATCAACATAATGTTGATGTCGGCGTCCCTGTCATACTTTGGTTAAATTTTTGCATGCAAGTTGGTATCACTCCTAAGTAGGATTGCACAGAAAAATATGTCCTAGCTTTAAAAATGAAATATTTTGTCACCTAATTGCAATGACTGATTAAATCCTATTAGATTGAGAAGGTATTTACCCATTACTGCACTTAGGTGATTATTTTTGTTATTCAAGGACTTTTGGTAAGAAGAAGTTTATAGCACTAGTCTTTAAGACTTTACAGGGAATATTATATCATTTATCCGAGATATATAAAACATTAGTTATACTGTTTAATTTTTATTTTATTTATAGTTAGCTGCAAGGAATGAAGAAGGCAATAGTAAATGGAGTGATATTGTTGCATATAAAACACTTCCTGCTCGACCCGACCCCCCTAGCAAACCTCAAATTAAGGGGAAAATTCATCCACATTATTTTAGAATCACATGGGGTAAGTTTGCAAAAAATTGTTGTATGATATTTTAGACAGAAGAATTTATTTTCAGGTAACTTAAAGCAGCATGCCTCCAAATTCATGCAGGATGCCTCTATTTCATGTGAATTGTAAAGTAGGAACTATTTTCCTTGTAAAAACAAGAAACTAAAGAAGGAACTGTATTCTTTATAAAGAAAGCACTCTTTTCCTTGTAAAGGAGAACTTTTTTGTGTAAAGAAGGAACTGTATTCTTTGTAAAGAAGTTACTCATTTCCTTGTTACAAAGGAACTCTATCCCTTGTCTTTTACTTGTAAAGAAGAAACTCTATTCTTTGTAAGGAAGGAACTCTGTTCCATTTAAAGAAAGAACTCTATCCCTTGCTTTTTACTTGTAAAGAAGGAACTCTATTCCTGGTAAAGAAGGAACTCAGTTCCTTGTAGAGAAGAACTCTGTTCCATGTAAAGAAGGAACTATATTCCTCGTCTTTTATTGTAAAGAAGGAACTATATCTCTCCTTTAAAAACAAGGATTTCATTTTGTTTGAAATAACCAGGCCATTAATTAAAGTACATGCTTGAGAGAGAATGATATAGTAAATATCAAAAGTAAGAAGATGGCAGAGGCTTATTTCCAACTCTGAGATCATGATAAAACCACTGACAGGAGTAAGATCTCTACCTCTCATAAAAACAGAATATTGACAGACTGTGAGAAATTTTAATAGAATGTATCAAGTTGGATTCATGACAGCATGTAGATTTCATTTAAGTCTCCACTTTTCTCTTGGTAGTATAACATGTCTCAGATTTTAATTTTATGAGTAAAACTTTTTATACTCCATATTTCTAGCATAGTTTTTGCCACTTTGTTTACGTATTTTCCTGGAAAATATTCTTGGCATTTCACATCATGCATATCGTTAAATCTTGGTTTTTATTTATTACAGATGCTGTTGTGCATATTTTTTTGTTTTGCTGTTTTCCTGCACTTAGTTTCTCATAAAGTGCGGCGGGAAGATTTGACGAAAATGTGGTTTAATTCTTTTTTTCCTTTGAGTGAATATTAGGAGAAAAGGAATGTTAATAAAACTGATTTCTTAGCTAAGTTGGGAGGAGGTTGTCATTGGAAAAGCATACAATCTTACAAGATTTAGTCTTCATTTTGTAAAATGCCTGGGAAACGTAAACTTGCATAAAGGGATCACCTCTGGATAAAGTTGTTAGACTGTATTTTAAAGAGGCTTTTTCATATAGTGTAACAATATAAAATAATAATAATACTGCATTGCGTGATGGGAATTATCATTATACAGCTAATGGTTATGTTAATTTGTTTTAACTGTTCTATTGTATAGAATTAGATTGGCCTGCATGCCCATGCAGACTTACAGAACTATACACTGTAGCTTACATATGGTGTTTAGATAATGTTGTCTGGGGCCTATATTCAAACAGGACAATAAATTCAGTAAAGAAAATTGATAACACCATTAAAAAAATAACAACATAGTTTTGGTGGTCTGGTGCTGGTTTTCGTAGTTTATCCTCTGGATCATGGCCTAAAGCCGGTTTGAATTCACCAGAGCATAGGTTCTGTCACTAGTTAGTAAGAGAAAGTATTACTCCATTCGGCTTGTGTTAGTTATAATGGAAATGTACTTTTCTCCTGTAGGTTAAAAATCATTCTCGGATGAAAACATCTTGCATGAATTTGATGAATGTATGATTTGATGAAAGAAAATGCTGGCAGTTACATTCATTTTGTTTTTGTTTATCTTATAGGTCCTCCTAGGAAGAGTTAAGAAAATAGTTAATTTTGGATGTTACAATCAAATAGTATTTTTGATTTCTTTTTTTTTTTATTTTCTAGATCCTCCAAAAGATGAAGGTGGAGCTGAAATCACCAAATATATTGTAGAGCTAGATGATGGGAAAGGTAGGTTCAGATCTGTTAGCATATAACCTTAAACTTAGAATGGACTGTTAGGAATTCATAAAATCGCGGACAATTCCCCTCCCGGACGATTCCCCTTCCATATTATTTTCACAACCCAGACATTTCCCCTCCTCTATATTTTACAGGGCAGACAATTCCCCTTTTGTTATTTTGGCAGAGGGGACAATTCCCCTCCAATTTTTTGAGCGGCAGGTGTCATTATACATAGCTGCGTATGAAAAAAATCTTTAATCATTCTTATTAAAATGAAAGTTTTTACTCTTAACAACAAACTGTTGTGAGCGGAACTTTTAGCAATCATTATTTCACAAAGGTGACATTATACAGTCTTTAATCATTGCCGCCGCTGCGTAAGATAAACAAACTGTCAATAAAAAATCTTTAATCATTGCCGCCCTTAATTAAATGCTCTAAAAAAATAACGGGATGGGAAATGTCCGGGTTGTGAAAAAACATTCAAATTTACTGGGAGGGGGATCGTCCAGGAGGGGCATTGTCCAGATGCCGAATTCAAAGCAGGGCAAATTCATTACACAAATTCAGCAGGTTTAAATATAGTACTAGTTGGTAGATGTTTGAGATAATGAAATAATATCAGTAACAATAAAGTGAGGTAATATAGTACATGTATATGGTGTTTGTTAATAATCCAGAACAGATTTTAAGAAGTAACATTTATTTAAGTATGTTGTTCATTGTTATAATTAATGAGAGTTAAATATGATATTTTTTTTACATACAATGCTTTCTGACCATAGGATCAGGTAAAATATATAACTATTTTAATTTAAATGTTTGTGGTTGATAAATTGTTTCTTGAATTTCTTTCCAACTTTGTTGTTGTCATGTTCTTGTAACGTTTCATCATTTGAGTTGAATATATTGTCATTCTTTTATTTTTCTGTCTCCATAATTCACAAAGTCTAGAATTTCTGTACTTGGTAAATCAGTACTTTGAAACAAAAGGTGTCCATTGCAGAATGGTTAAGGTCATAGACTTCAAACCACTCGCCCCTCATGACTGTGGGTTCAATCCTGTCAGAGACTTTGGATTCTTTCAAATGAGGAAGCTATCCAGCTTGCATATGAAACTTAGGTGGTTCTACTAATGTAATCTATAATGCCTGAAATAATGCACTGAGGGGCACTTGATGTCTTCCTTCACCAGTAAAGCTGTAAACTAGCCATATCACCTCTACTGTATTGGTGTGACCCAACATAATGTTAAGAACAGTAACAGATTAACCCCAGTCCTGCTGTTGGCATGCAACCATTGCAGACCGAGATAAGCTGGTACATCTGTGTCATTTGATAATGGTGTACAATATTCACTAATCAATCAGGAAATAGTATGAATCATTCAGATGGATATTGTCTAGATTAAAATATTGACAATTTCCTTTATGATATTTAGCTCGTTAATGGTTTTAAGACATTCATATTTTATTTACTTTTCCTTCTGTTATAAAAGCAGCAATAGAATTATGTAATTTAAGAACATCATTCTGAGGACAAGAATTTTTTTTATCTGTTGCATCATCCACCTTTGAGAAAATGTTGAAATAGTTTTAAAATGTTAATTTAGTGTAACATCTGCAGAGCTACTGACCCTCTGTAGAGCATGAACCTCTTTACAGCAGCCAAATAAGATCTTTCCAGTCTGAGATTAAAAAATAATGCATGCTCTGTAATACATCTACAATAAATAATTACTGAATGGTCGTGTTTGTGTAGCTTGTTTGTTAATTTCAAACTAAGGCTTTACATGGAATTTAACCTCTCCAGAGCAAACCCCCTCATCAACATCCAAAATCTTTGCCCACATCACAAAGGTAGTTGCTTTGCAGAGTTCATCCTATTCAAGTTGACTATTTTTTGCTACAAGTCACTCGAACAAATTGCTATTAATCTATTTTCATTCTGTGTACATGATTTCAAGTGTTACGTGAATGATTAATTGACACGATACATTATTTTAAGACTGTGGACAATATGTCTGTCTGACCTATAGCCTAGAGCTTTGAAAAATGAAATATTCTATAACTGTGACCCATAGCTTTAGGGAGAAAAGGAAATGTTTTCACTGAATGTTTATATGTAAAGAAATGTATTAAATGTTGTAATAGAAAGGACATTAAAGACTTGAGTTGTCTATCAACATAATGTAGACATAGAATTTATTTTTATTTTTTTTACGAATGTGTACATTTATTATTAGTATTGTTGCAATATAGAGTTCCTTTTGTATATATTAAAAAACTGTATAAAAATCCTCATTTAAAGGGACTTGACTTAAGTCTAAAAGACTAAAAACATAAAATTTGAATTTCTTACATAAATCAGCTTAGGCACATTAAACAGAAAGGTATTAAAAGATAATGAAGAAATATACTCAGAAATAAATAGAAAATTGTAGTTTTGTGCTTTAATTAGTCAGATTTTAGGGTTGGAATGCTTTTCAAATTTTGGGTCATTTTGACAATTGGAATAATTATTCAGGGAAAAAGGACATGAGCAAATGATCTGAAATGTTGCACATGCTTCATTGGTCTAGACTAACATCTGTTGGAACATTAATCTCGAAAAAATTATTTCCAGTCCCGTCTTGTCAATAAAACCTCAGTGGAGTCCCTTTAACTCATAACTTTTCATATACTGAACAGCTATCTTTTAATTATAAGAACATTTAAAAAACATAGCAATAGTAATCAATAGCAATGATATAGCATTTCTATAGATTAATAGCAAAGTTTATGGTAGTAACAAATTTAAAAATACATTGAGGAAATGCAATAAATGGACATCAATGAAGTCATGACAAAAATGATAAAAAATATTTGTAGCAATTACTTTAATGTATTGCTTGATTGAAGACATGATTTTGTTCAGATTTTTTTCATTTGTTTATTTATTTATTTGTTTTTTAAAAAAAGGGAAAATGACTGGTAAGTTTATAAAGTTGGTATAAAAGGGGGAAATAGAAAACTCATTTAGTAGGTTATAGAAAGAAAAACATATAAAAGTGTGACAACTTCAACATTTTCGTTGTAAACAAGTTTTTGTAGTGATTTTGTTGGCTTTGTTTTATAAGTTTAGGGGGTGTTTTTCTACCACTGCTAGAATTATTTATGTTTTAATGTTGATTTTGTAATAAATTGAATAGATTTAGATAAGAATTATTTTATACTTATCCCCTGTTGTTCGTGCTTTTACCATTGTATTAGGGACTTATTTACCCTAGGTTAACAATGAAATTACTTTTCTTCATTCAGCAAAGTATTTTGTTTCAAATTTGTATTGAATATTAAAGCTTTTGAGTTGTGAGTAAATTATGAGCTGTAAGTCTATGGGTTTTGTGTCTATAAACCAAGGAGTTGTAAGTTTATGAACCTATGGGCTGTGAGTTTATCAACCTATGGGTTGTCTGTCTGTTACTTATGACACTTAAGTTTATGAACATCTGACATGTGAGTTTATAAACCCATGACACTTGAGTTTATCAACCTATGACTTGTGAGTTTATGAAGCTATGACTTTTGAGTTTATGAAGCTATGACTTTTGAGTTTATGAAGCTATGACTTGTGATTTTAAAAACCTATGATACTTGAGTTTATGAACCTATGACACTTGAGTTTATGAACATACGAGTTGTGTGCTTATGAATTTGTGAGTCTTTGAACCTATGAGTTGTATGTTTAGATTAGAATTCAGGTGCACTGTAATATAGGGTCATACATTTTGTGTGATTTTAATGCCTCCAAGCATATATCATATAAAAAATGAGAAGAAAGAAAAATGAAGAATATAACAACTACAGGTTTGATTGATTAAATAGCTTGTCTGAAATTTTCCATTCACAAAACAACACTTACTGAACACCTGTTACAAGGTACAAGTCAGGCTGGCCTATATTTCCTGGTTTTACAATATGAATAAATAGTCACAGGAAATGCTTGTTTTCCTTCATGAATAATAAATTTAATTGGGCTATGCAGTACACATAGAAATAGAAAATTAAAGAATGAATTTGCACCTGTTTCAGATTGGCAGGCCACTGCTTTTGATATTTCCTGGTTAAAATAATTTTCTAGGAAATGAAACAACTCCCTGAATTAATATATTGTTGATAGATAGATAGATGTAAAACTTGATCAATGTACACCTGTCACATGATTTATATCTGTTACTGTAAATGATTGATGTTTTGTGTTTTGCAGTTATATCTTGTCTTTAAATTTTCTTAACATTATTGTAAAACATAAGTAAAAAATAAATGTGTACGAGGGGTGATCCAAAAATTCGTGGACAATGTGTGTATCTCCATAACGTGACGTCCTACCGAGGTGAACTCTTTGGATATTATTAATCAATGCTTTTTTAATAAATTGACCAAATTTTAAAACACCAATTGCATTTTTTATCTATATATGACAACATAAAAACATTAAGTATCAAAATCGCGGCGCAGCTTACTTTTTCTCTGTGATGTAAACGTTTTCATCTCATTTAAACACATGTAAACCCTGTGCAAACAAAGAAAATTGCGGGAAACGTTATAATAACGTTGTTTTGATGTGTATGACATCATTCTGTCAGTATTAGAAGACATTTTGAAGTTGCGGTTATTTTACGCTCATGCTTTAAAGAACAGGTGCTTAAACAGCTTTATCAAAAATGGACGTCACGGATCCAGCAAAATTTCGGACAGTTATACAGTTCTGTGTAAATCTTGGAAAGACGCCTGGCGAGACAAAAACAATGATCGAAAGTGTGACAAATAAACCGTCAGTGTGTCGTTCTCTAGTTCTCAGTTTGGAGCAGAAGTACTCAGTCATTCACCATATTCGCCTGATCTTTCCCTGTGTGACCTCGCCTTGTTTCCCAGGTTAAAGAAAGAGTTGAGAGGGAGACGTTTTGACAATCTGGACGAGTTGAGAGGAGCCACCCAATGCATACTGTCATCATTTAGCCAGGAATGGTATGCGAGTACATTTAGAGACTGGGTCCGCCGCCATGAAAAATGTGTGCGGGTTAAGGGGAATACTTTGAAAAGTTATAAGGCAAAACGGTAACATAGATTACTTCCTATGATAGCATAACGTCGTTTGTGACGTCGTGAGCTGCGCTGCGTTTTGTCATGTCTATGTATATAAACTGGTGCAGAATCGTTAATTCTTGTACAATCTTTACAATATTTTGAAAATTTGTCGACATATGCTCACTTAATAAGATACTAGAATTTCATGTGATTTGCTTTATTATGTCTCCCCCACCTCGGGGGGAGACATATTGTTTTTGCCCTGTCCGTCCGTCCGTCCGTCAGTCCGTCCGTCCATTCTTCGTTTCCGGACGATAACTAGAGTTCCTTTTGACCTACAGCCCTCAAACTTCATAGGATGATTGGTCTTATAGAGCTGATGATCCCTATTGTTTTTGGGGTCAGTAGGTCAAAGGTCAAGGTCACAGTGACCGTTGGTCAATTTCTCGTTTCCGGATGATAACTAGAGTTCCTTTTGACCTACAGCCCTCAAACTTCATAGGATGATTGGTCTTATAGAGCTGATGATCCCTATTGTTTTTGGGGTCAGTAGGTCAAAGGTCAAGGTCACAGTGACCGTTGGTCAATTTCTCGTTTCCGGATGATAACTAGAGTTCCTTTTGACCTACAGCCCTCAAACTTCATAGGATGATTGGTCTTATTGAGCAGATGATCCCTATTGTTTTTGGGGTCAGTAGTTCAAAGGTCAAGGTCACAGTGACCGTTGGTCAATTTCTCGTTTCCGGATGATAACTAGAGTTCCTTTTGACCTACAGCCCTCAAACTCATCAAAATCCTTCAAAGGGTTGAAGAGTTATGGAGCAGACACAATTTCCTTTAATTTCGTTTGTGAAACTATATATGATATGACATTCAAGTGTCAAGTAGACCTTGACCTTGGAACCAGCCATACGAAACATGTACTCTACACGTTCTCTGGATGTGGTGAATTTTTGTTTCAAGTATCTACCAGAGAGGCTTCATTGTGAAAACGAGTGGAGTCATCCCAACACACTACAGTTATCATGATTTTACATACATTGTAATTTGAGTTGTCTTTCAATAGTGTAAAAAAATCTGACAATATGAACGTTTGTTTCAAGTATCATCAAAATCCTTTAAAGGTTTGAAGAATTATGGAGCAGACACAATTTCATTTAATTTCATTTGTGAAACTATATATGATATGACCATCAAGTGCAATTTCGTTTGACGCCCGCCTGCCATACGCTGATTGAATAACCAGGATTTTCAAAATTGAATACCTGGTTAAAAACAAACAGTTTAGGAAGCATCTTCTCATACAACCTTAACAATAGAAACCATCCATAGACAGCCTTCATTGAAGTGACTACCGGGTATTTACATTATCTTATCTCCATTTCCATTCCTGTTTCCATTCACAGTTATTCTCAGCAGTGGGGGAGACATGCGCTTTTTTACAAAAGCATCCTCTAGTTACTTTTTGTTTTATGCAGCGTGTCCATGAATTTTTGGATCACCCCTCGTATTTCCTGTATTTGTTTTATGTGTTATGAGATGATGTTTTCGTCTTATAGGTTATGTGATTGTGTTTTTGTCCTGTAGGTTATGAGATTGTATTTTCGTAACATAAGATAATTATGAGATGGTGTTTTTGTATTACAGGTTATGAGAAGGTATTTTTGTATTATAAGTTATGAGATGGTGTTTTGTATTATAGGTTATGAGACGGTATTTGTTGTATTATAGGTTATGAGACGGTATTTGTTATATTATAAGTTATGAGATGTTATTTTTGTATTACAGGTTATGAGATGGTGTTTGAAGGTACGGAGCGGGAACATACATGTTATGAATTGATTCCGGGTCATACATACCACGTACGAGTTGCAGCATGCAGTGTTGGGGGTCGTAGTGATGTAAGTTTATCATTTATAAAACATTTCACTCTATATATGAGCTGAGTCATGACAAAACCAACAAAATGCTTTTGCGACCAGCATGGATCCAGACCAGCCTGCGCAACAGTCTGATCAGGGTCCATGATGTTCCCTTTCAAACTCTATTACAAGTAGATAAACTGATAGGGAACAGCATTGATCCTGATCAGACTGGGGGGAGGCGCAGGCTAGTCTGGATCCATGCTGGTCGCAAAAGCATTATGTTTGAAACAACACATAATTGTTTTTTCCAACAGAAAATAAAAGCTGAAGGTCGCTTTAAATGACTGTGAGCTGTTGGTTGCTTAATATTATTATAATGACAAATTTCTGACATTTTTAAATCCAGGGCAAATCCGTTATTTTGATTAAGCAGTTCTTGAAAATTTAAAGTTAAACAGATGAATAGTTTAAGTAAACCGAGAGTTTTAGCTCATGCAATTTCTTTGTCACCCTTAGATTGCTCCCAGTGACTCTGAACTGCTCACTATTTCAGCAAGTTCATATTTTGAAAATTTCCCTAAAAATGATGAATGGTTTCATTCAGATATTGAAAAAGATGGTCATAGTTCATTTAAGATATTTATAGTGTTTCATGGGTTAATGTTTAAGATATTTATAGTGTTTCATGGGTTAATGTTTAAGATATTTATAGTGTTTCATGGGTTAATGTTTAAGATATTTATAGTGTTTCATGGGTTAATGTTTAAGATATTTATAGTGTTTCATGGGTTAATGTTTAAGATATTTATAGTGTTTCATGGGTTAATGTTTAAGATATTTATAGTGTTTCATGGGTTAATGTTTAAGATATTTATAGTGTTTCATGGGTTAATGTTGGAATTTTCTATTTTATTGACAGTTTTCTGAAGTTTGTATTGCAACAACTCAGTCAGTACCACCAGGACAGTGTTCAGTCCCAAAACTTCAGGGCAAACCTAAAGCTACATCTCTACACCTCAGATGGAGTAAGAACTTTCTCTTTTCTTATCATTATTTTATGCTTTAAAACTTTACTGTTTAAATAACCTGTTTGTCTCAGTGAGGCACAACCCAGCATCATAGATAAAAGAACAAAATAAACAACTTTTGTAAAATTTCAAATGTTGTAAAACAGCAACTTATAGAAATCTTTTTATAAATATTTTTTGACCGGTTAAATTTTCTTGGAAATTTTTTTTTATTAGTACTGACAGAAGAAATCTATATGAAAGAAAATGGTAATATATTATTACTGCATGTTTGATTTAGCTTAGAAAGTGCAAGAAGCAGTGTGAAGAGACCAGGAAATTTTAACATTTAACCACCTTCTTTGTAAGGAATAAAGATTTTACCAATTTTGCTATTGAAACAAACTGTCTCTGTTTCATTTTGATTGGTTGTATGTCTAATTTCTGCTATTTAATATTGGTTATATTTTCTTTTAACCAGCGTGTCCTGATAATAATGGTGGTGCCCAGGTGACAGAGTTTGCGGCCCAGATGATACTTCCCGACAACACAAGTCGAGAGGTTTACAAGGGTCGGGACTTTGACTGTATAGTAGCAGGATTGTCCCCAGGGCGTCCTTACCTCTTCCAAGTTCGAGCTTTCAATAGAGCAGGGGTGAGTTACGATAATTTATTTATACTTTTTTTCGTTTTGGAACTTTGGCTTAGGTGAGAAGTTTAAATGGCAATACTGCCTTGAACTGAAGGTGATGTAAAATGTTAGTTTGTGAAGTTTGTTTATAGGACAAGATATGTTTCAAAATGTCAGTTAGTTTATAAAGTTTGTTTAAAGGACAAGATATGTTTCAAAATTTTATTGATTCATTGAGCGGCGGTGGGCAATTGTCAAGAGAAGTAAATGTCCATGTACCCATTGCCCCAGACATCCGGGACTGTCCCGGAAATGGGATGTGCCTGTGTTAAAGTGGAAACTGATGAAATGTTATTGATTATAGTAACTGACGTATGCTACCAGTAAAAGATTAGAGCAGCCTGTATGTTACGGACAGTTTGACCAAACTTTATATTATTTGATGCTCTACTTTTTTATAAGTATAATTATGGTACAAGATCTAGAAACCAGATAAGCTGGAATAAAATTTAATTAAACCAGGCGTTCCATCAATTCACTGGTACAGGAAAAACATTGTTTTAGTTCAATTATCCATGGGGTGTGTTTCCGCTCAATACAATTATACCATGTATGTTAAATATTTTTTATGAGTGTTGGCAACAACTGTTTGAAACACCTTTGCATCTTTGCTAGCAGAAAATATAAAAAATGAACTTCTGTTCTATCAAAACAGAAAAAGAATAAGATGGCATTTTGATTTCCATTTTGTGTAGATTTGTATTTTGTTTTTTCATGGTCTTTCAGTATGCATGTTGTAAATTCCAGAATAATTTTCTGATCTATTTAAGAGATTATGCATTTTCAAGGATATGCGAAAGAAAAAAAAAAATGCAACCGAGATTTGGTTTCCATGGCTGTTTGACATGTAATTTACTGTAAATTGTGTCTGTCTCATTTTAAAGTTCATCTTAAAATTAATACACCATGTCAGGAACATGTTTCCATTTTAATTTCCAGGAAAGCTTTATCTATTGGATTTATAAGCTACATAGGCCTTTTTGCACACTTATTGTATCCCAGTCATGAGTTAATATTAGATACAACTCTCTTACATATCACCCCTATTATCATTATGTGGAAAAAAAATGAAAAGGACATAAATATCATTTTATATTAAAAGAGATTCACTGAGGTCAAAAAGCCAAAAAAAAAAATAAAAAAAAAAAAAATCATAGAATTTGATATTCTTGGATATATCAAGTGATTACACTTTTAATAAAACTGAAACATCTGCAAAAAATAAATACAGGAATACATTGAAAATAGATTTTTTGCACTATTTCCATCCAGGTTTGAGTTAAAAGTTAGCAGTGCAGTAGAGTCCTGTTAAAGTTTATCTTATAGTCTACAAATGTTAAGCTAACTGCAATATCATTAAATATCAAGATTAAATGTTTGTAAAATTATTTTTGACTATCAAATCAATTTACTGTCAAACTTTTGTAAAAAAAACACCAAATAAAAACCACATGCTGTATAGGTTGTTTTTTTTTTTACATTTTTAAAGGAGTATATTTTATTTCCTGATGTGAGAGATTATAATGAATTGTTTTGAGTAGCCACCTATCAAGACCTTTATTTAAAGTTTTAATGAATTAAAGTCCTTGATGACAGAGGTGTATGACTAGGTATGTTGATATTAAAATACTGACATTGTGGCACATTGTTGCATGTCTGCCTGGTTACAGTTTTTATGAGAATATTTACAGTGACATTATGTACATACATGTATAATGGTATATAGTGTGTTAACAGGTGAAAGTCTAAATAAGTTTACATTTTGCCATGATTCCTTTCAATTTTACAATGTACTTTGCATGAACAATAAATAACCCAAAGTGACACATGGAAATTTCTGTAAATTTCTATCGGAGTTTACCTGTAACATTCAATTTATAAAAAAAAAAGTGGGGCAATTTTTTTTTATATTTATGACAGATTTATTTTTTAATTGTCAATCACCATTAAAACAGTCACTTTTGAAACATAAAGTCAATTCAGCTCAACTTGATAAAGAAAAAGCATTATGTCAATTAAAATAACAAAATCAACATTTTTGTACAGAATCTTGCATAATACACACATCAATTTTTGCCGGTACCATCAAATATTATGAATGAATATAGTGATAATATCTATAGATATGTAGAAATAAAATGTTAAGCAGATGTAAATGAAAATTCCAGAAAATATGAAAACAAACTGATCATATCTCTTCATATTACTTTACCATTTCCCCTCACTGATTTCTAGATAAAAAAAAATTCGTTTATTTCTGTAGTGATTCAAGAGTTAAATGCTAGACTTGTTTTCTCTTGACTTTGAAATTCTTGGAACCAGTCTGATTCTCTTTTATTTGATTGGCTGATTGTTAATTACTCACAACTAAAACTGCTGCGAAGGGTGCTGTTAATTACTCCCCCATGACTAAAAATGTTACGAATATCCAATCTCTGAATAAATTACTTACTGAAATATTTGTGTTTTGGTTATCATAAGGTTTGCAAACTTAAATACACGTTAGACAATTGAAAAAAAAATGCAAAAAAAAAAATGGTAAAGCTTTACCCCCAAAATATGTCATCTTTTCAAGTTTGACCAAAAGTCTTGTCTTGGTGGTGGTTTTTAGACAGTCATATTAGCCTTGGCCTTAATATGACAGTGTTCGGCTCAATATCAAGGCCATCATGAAAATTCTTAATTATATTATTACAATATATGATTGCCTAAAGCCCAATAACAAGGCCATTATGAAATATTTTAATTATTGACAATATGATAACATATTTTCAGGGTGGACCTTGGTCTGAGCCTCTAGAGGTTGTCAGCGGTGCTGGTGTGCCGGACCCTCCCAAGATGCCACTGTGTATGTGCAGGTCAGCACATAGTACACTCGTGCAGTGGGAGGGGCCAGTTAATAATGGTGCTACAATAACAGACTATAGATTAGAGTGGCAGTTAAAATCAGACCAAGAATTCGCACAGGTAACCATTTGAACATTTTATTTATTATGCTCCCTGAGATTTGGTTTGGTGGAATATGCATGTATAGTGTTCTGTCCTTGTATCGCACATACATACTTATTGCGATAGCACCATCATTGATTATTTGTTAACTGATATCTTTGTTTTTACCTTCCATGGACCTCTATTCATGCATTGAATTTCAGGTTACAAGGTCACATCCTCACAGTATCACAGTTATACAATGTTTTTAGCTTCATCAATTTATTTAAGCAAAATTTGTAAGCATTGATAGGTGATGCTAGACCTCTTATTGGCTGCTTTACAACTAGCTGAAATGATTTTCTTTCTCGGTAACAAAGACAGAACTGCTCAATGTTAGTATTTCTGTCACTTAAATTAACCCTTAACTGGCGAGTAGAAATATGTTATTGCATTATAGAACTATAAAAAAAATTCAAGGTATATCAATTTTTAGCTCCACTATACAAAGTATATGGAGAGCTGTCCTTCTCCCCCGGCGTTGGCGTCGCGTCCAGATTTCAGATTAAAGTTTTGGTGCAGTAAAATATTTTTCATATAACTTTTTCATTTCTTAGAGAAACAACTTCAAACTTCAAATGTGCCTTTCTTAGCACCCATGTTTTCAAATTTATCTCCCCTTGAACTTAGAATTTTCCTTAAAAAATACTATTTTTTACTGTTGCTTCTTTATTTCTTAAGGGATCAATTTCATACTTCAAATATATGTTCCTTATCATCAGTCACATCGTATGTGACAAGGTTCATAATTGCACCAATATTTTCAGATTTATCTCCCCTTGAACTTAGAATTTTCATAAAAAAATACTATTTTTTAGCTCGACTTTTCTATGAAAAGGGGAGCTATCCTACTCGCCCCGGCGTCGGCGTCGGCGTTGGCGTCACACCTTGGTTAAGTTTTTCGTACCACCCCACTTTATTTCAGAAGTATTACAAGTATGGCTTTGAAACTTACCATACTTGTTCACCATCATAACCTCCATCTACAGACAAGAGTACATAACTCTGTCAAGGTTTTTGACAGAATTATGGCCCTTTTTTGACTTAGAAAGTGTATTGAGCTTGGTTAAGTTTTTTGTACCACCTCACTTTATTTCAAAACCATTGGAGGTATTGCTTTGAAACTGACCATACTTGTTTACCATCACGACCTTCATCAACAGACAAGAGGACATAACTCTGTCAAGGTTTTTGACAGAATTATGCCCCTTTTTGACTTAGAAAATACATTGAATATGGGTAAAATCCACTTATTGCCTTAACCCTTTGAGATATTGCTTTGAAACTTTTAATGCTATTTCACATCATTACCCCCATCTGTACGCAAGAGAAGGTAACTCTGTCAAAGATTTGTTTTAAAAATTAAGGCCTTTTATCGACTTAGAATCTTGGTTAAGTTTTTAGTACCAGTCCACTTTTTGACTGAACTGTTTGAGATATTAATTTGAAAGTTGGAATACTTGTTTACAATCATGATTCCCAAACATGTCCAGGAGAAGGTAATTCTGTCAAAGATTTTATTTGAATTATGGCCCTTAACTGTCAATGTTTTGTATTATAGGCAAGCACTAAAAAACTTAAAAAATCTAAAAAAATTCATTCCTATCCACTGAACCTGCAGTGTTCAAGGGTATCACACAATTCAGTAAAATAATTCTTCACTAAATATCTTAATGCTCATGGCCATTGTTCACTTTAAAAATACAGAGATTCTTGTATTGCCTTTTACTGCAAAAACTTTTTTTATTGGCAAGCAATAAAAAAGTCGAGCGCGCTGTCTTACGGACAGCTCTTGTTTCTGTTACTTCTTTATTTCTTAAGGGATCTATAAACCAATATTGCAAGAATTATTTCCCCATAAACTTAGATTTTTTTTTACTTGAAAAATGTTATTTCTTTAGTTTTTAAGGTATCTACCTCGAACTTCAAATAATTATTCCTTAACATCTATTACATTTTATTTGACAAGGTGCATAACTCTTGGAGCAATATTTTCAGATTTATCTCTTTTTGAAGTTTTTTAAAGAAATATTATAACTTCTTTACTTTTTAAGGTATCTACTTCAAACTTCAAATATATATTTCCTATCATTACACACATGTTGTGTGACAAGGATCATAACTCTAGCGTGACTATTTCTAGAATTATTCCCCTTGATCTTGGAATTTATGTTAACAAATGTTATTTTTTTAGCTCACCTTGCACAAAGTGCAGGTGAGCTTTTAGGATGGCCAACCAAATGGCGTCCCTCGTCTGTCGTCCGTCCACATTTTAAATATTCTAAGGACATCTTCTATGATACCGCAAGGCCAATGTTAATGAAACTTGGCAGGAATACTCTTTGTATGAAGCTCTATCAAGATTGTTCAAAGAATTTCATTTCATGCAGAACTCTGGTTGCCATGGCAACCGAAAGAAAAATCTTTAAATATCTTCTTTTAAAGAACCGTAAGAGCTAGAGCTTAGATATTTGGCATGAAACATCTTCTAATGAGTGTCTACCAAGTTTGTTCAAATAAAAGCCCTAGGGTCAAAATTGGCCCCGCCCCAGGGGGTCATTGATTTTCCCTATATGCATATAGTAAAAACTTAAAAATCTTCTTTTAAAGAACCCAAAGAGCTAGAGCTAAGATATTTAGCATGAAACATCTTCTAGTGAGTGTCTACCAAGTTTGTTCAAATAAAAGCCCTGGGGTCAAAATTGGCCCCGGCCCAGGGGGTCATTGATTTTCCCTATATGCATATAGTAAAAACTTAAAAAATCTTCTTTTAAAGAACTGTAAAAGCTAGAGCTTAGATATTTGGCATGAAACATCTTCTAGTGAATGTCTACCAAGTTTGTTCAAATAAAAGCCCTGGGGTCAAAATTGGTCCCGCCCCAGGGGGTCATTGATTTTCCCTATATGCATATAGTAAAAACTTAAAAAATCTTCTTTTAAAGAACCCAAAGAGCTAGAGCTAAGATATTTAGCATGAAACATCTTCTAATGAGTGTCTACCAAGTTTGTTCAAATAAAAGCCCTGGGGTCAAAATTGGCCCCGCCCCGGGGGGTCATTGATTTTCCCTATATGCATATAGTAAAAACTTAAAAAATCTTCTTTTAAAGAACCGTAAGAGCTAGAGCTTAGATATTTGGCATGAAACATCTTCTAGTGAATGTCTACCAAGTTTGTTCAAATAAAAGCCCTGGGGTCAAAATTGGCCCCGTCCCAGGGGGTCATAGATTTTCCCTATATGCATATTGTAAAAACTTAAAAAATCTTCTTTTAAAGAACCCAAAGAGCTAGAGCTAAGATATTTAGCATGAAACATCTTCTAATGAGTGTTTACCAAGTTTGTTCAAATAAAAGCCCTGGGGTCAAAATTGGCCCCGCCCCAGGGGGTCATTGATTTTCCCTAAAATTGCATATAGTAAAAACTTAAAAAATCTTCTTTTAAAGAACTCAAAGAGCTAGAGCTAAGATATTTAGCATGAAACATGTTCTAATGGGTGTCTACCAAATATGTTCAAATAAAAGCCCTGGGGTCAAAACTGGCCCTGCCCCGGGGGTCATTGATTTTCCTTTTATGTGTATAGCAAAAACTTAAAAATCTTCTTTGAAAAAACCCAAATAGCTCGAGTTTAGATATTATACATGAAACATCTTTAAGTAAATATCTACAAAGTTTGTTCAAATAAAAGCCCGGGGGTCAAAACTGGCCCTGCCCCAGGGGTGTCATTGTTTTTAACTATATGTGTATAGTAAAAACTTAAAAATCTTCTTTTAAAAAACCCAATGAGCTAGAACTTAGATGTTTAGCATGAAACATCTTCTTATGGGTGTCTACCAAGTCTGTTCAAATAAAAGCCCTTGGGTAAAAATTGGCCCCCGGGGGGGGGGGGTGCGGGGGCGACAGGTGAGCGACCTCAGGGCCATCATGGCCCTCCTCTTGTTTACTGTAACTTAATAAAAATTATACATAATTGATTTTTCTTTCATAGTTTGTCTTCCTTACTGTGTCCAATATTTCATTACTAAAGCTTTGCTGTCTCCTGTGACAGCTCTTGTATAATCTTGTTTTATTCATATTTCAGCTATATTTTGGCCCAAACACCAGCTTTGAAGTAAAAGGACTAAATCCTGCAACATGTTACGCATTTAGGGTCCAAGCAATAAATAGTGCCGGGCATGGCCTATATAGCCCTGTAGCTATGTGTCAGACTCCTCCTTCAAGCCCGTCTGCAGTTATTTCAATACGCGCAAGCGCGGCAGCCACAAGTGTTCATTTGGTGTGGAAAGAACCGCACGATAACGGAAGTGAAATATACGCATATAATATAGACATTGGAGATAAACAGTTGACATGTGTTAGTGCTGTAACGGAATACACGTTAGAGGATCTAACACCAGAAACAACTTACAAGTGAGTATTGTAGATTATAAATTAATATCACTACACCAGTAGAGTCAGGTCAACTTGCACGTCTATGAATTCTAGACCCTATACTGGAGACAGGTTCCTATTGTAGTCAGCTAAATATTGGAAAGTCTATTGGGAATGCAGACCTGCCCAAGTTATTAAGGTCTTTGACTTTAAACTACTTACTGCTCACTGCTGTGGGTTAGAATCTTGACAGGGAATTTGAATTCTTTTATGTGAGGAAGCTATTCAGCTAGCTAATGGAGTGTCATTGGTTCTACTCAGGTGCCCATTCATGCCTGAAATAATGCACAAAAATTGGAAGGACAACTGAGGTCTTAATACAGTTTTGAAGAAATTACGTTAGATTAGATTCATGATTTTAAAAATAATACAGTGTGACAATTATATGTTTTAACAAAGTACATGTATTATGCTATGTGAATAAACTTTATGAAATTAATACATGTATTAAAGGATATGTCACATCCTAAGCTCATAAAAGACATGTTTTTCTGAAGAACTTATTCACTCCCTCCAGGGATTGATACTCAGGTCCTCAATGAGGTGAAAATCTCCTTTACATTGTTGGTCATTTGTGTCTCATTTGGGTTTGGTGCAATGGTACAAATTGTCAGATACTGCATGTCTACTACTTCACATTAACGGTCAACAGGGTTTGTTTAATTGACAAAACACATCTTTTGTTTCTGCAAGGTTTGTTTGACAAAACACATCTTTTGTTTCCGCAAGGTTTGTGTAATTGATAAGATACATGTGTTTTTGTTACCACAGGGTTCGTATTCAAGCAGTGAATGGTATAGGAGTAGGAGCATTTAGTTCACAAGTGAAGTTCACGACTCGAGCTTTACCACCACGACCGCCAAAACTTGAATGTTGTGGAGCATCACATAATAGTATAAAGTTAAAATGGGGAGAGGGACGTAACATAGATCTCATCACCTTTACACTGGAAATGGATAGGGAAGATGGAAAGTAAGTTTCCGTGAAATTAGCTTCTAACCCGGTCTTCATGTGTTAACTTTGTCTGGACAAATTTACAATTATAAACCACCTGTTAACCTTTATTAAAAATTCTATGTAAAATCTCCTTGGCATTTTATTCTTTTACTCAATAGCATGAATTAGGTTTTCTTTGTTTTACATAGAATTTATTTAAGTTTTATTGTGTAGGTAGCTTTAAGTTTAAAGACACACTGTTGAATCTGTTCCTGGAACCAACTTATACTGAGCAATGAGTGTAAAATTTCTTCCTGAAGGAATCAAGGACTTGCCCCTGAAGGGGTTTGTACCCATGCAGCTAGCGACCATTAGATTACTAGTAAAATGCTTAATGACTAGGCCATGCCACCACATACAATAAGGTTTTCTTTAAAAAGCTGTTAAGTAATTTTCTATGGAAATTTACCTTTACTTTTATGTTTCCTAGAAAATTTATGTAAGTTTTACATAAAAAAATCTTTCAAACTACCATACCTTTACCTATCCTAAACCAACCATCACTCTTACTAGAAATAATGACAACCTAATCTTGTATTTTTCAGTTTCCAAGAGGTGTATAAAGGTCAGGCATTTACGTATAAAGTAAATCGTCTGTTGGAGATGACAAATTATGATTTTAGGATATATGCTAGTAACGATGCTGGAAGCGGACCATACTCAGAAACTTATACATTCTCCACGACCACCGCCCCACCCCCAGCATTAAAAGGTAAAAACCACACAGTCATAATTAGCAATGTTAAAGTTGATGCATGATTATGCAGGGTTTTCATTTTCATCTGACGGAACAGATGTGACAATGAAAATAACAGATTTGGCGAAGGATCAAGGGGAATAATATAATATAAGCTGAAAATACAACCAATTTTAAGTGTTCCAACCAATGATATGGATCGCTATTTTGTTAATACTGAAAACCCTGATTAAGGGTTGTTTAATTTAAAATAATTTGCTCTTCACAACCGTTGACATGCATTTGCCATCAATATAAATCCAGGCCAGCTAAGGCATATTTGTGCAGTCTCACTTTAGAGGAAGAGACACTAAAAGATTTGGCTTGTCCTGCCATCTTTAATGTCTGTCCATATACTGACAAAACAATGTAATGTTTTTAGTTGGTATTTAAATCTATTGTTCACCTGAAGTCTTGAGTTGACTCAATACAAGGCAGGGTATATTCAGAAATGTAGTGGGAGTGTTGTTTTACAATATTACAAACTTTGACGGTAGTTATGATAATGTAATGTATACAGGTTATTTGTATAGACACATTCCTGCTCTTCTAGCTTATGTTCTAGTTTGCTGAGTAACAAACTTGCATGATAATAGAATTTCAGTGGTTCATTATATACAGCCTGGTTTTCTAGACTTTAAAAGATTTAATGAGTGTTTTATGTAGTTTTTTTATTAACAGAAAACAGGATGTAATTATGTACTGTTGTGAAACAGTCACTCACTGAGAAATTTGTTGCTTGTTTTTTTTTTTGGGGGGGGGGGGGGGGGGGGGGTGAAGAATGTGCTAAATTCTTGTATGCTCTTGTTGTATTTTAGATTTATAGTGAAATTTGAAAAGTAAACTTTTACATACAGCCACACAGAAAGAGAGAAAATATTTAATAATAAAGTTTTTATAGTTAGTGCAGAAAGGTCTTCTTGAGTTTGAATGATGAAAATCTCATTGCTGCAACAATAAATAAAAACCCAGATAAAACCAAGTAACAACAAGGGAAAAGTTATGTAATGATGGTAGAATCATTAATCCTATATATGCTTTATAACTAGATATGCCAATAGAAAACTTGATTATTATATTGATGAATGGCAATTTGGTGCATGAACAACTGGGTATAAACAACTATATAACTCAAGGGATTTCAATAAACTTCACAGAATGGTTATTAAGTGCAATGGTACATATTATTGGGATGTTATGATTTGATCTGTTTTTGGCTTTTTGTTCATTTGAACTTTGTTCATACTGTTTTTAAAGTGCTTAAATTTGAGCCCCTTTTTTAAAAAGTGCTTAAAAATGAAAAAGTAGTTAAAAGTCATTGACTTTGATTACTCTCTTGAAAAGTGTTTAAAAAGTGCTTATATTTGCTGCAAATATGCTTGAACATGATTAAATGAAATAGTGTCTGTGAAAATCAACTGTTTTACAATTTACAAAAAAAAACAACTAAAAAAGGGATACAATTTAGTACCAAAATTAATGAAATGTTTGCCCAACAGTAACAGGAAGGGGACAAATTGTGCATTTGAAACGAATATATTGTAATTGGGCCCCTTTGTTGTTCTTTTACAGAAACCATAAAATGGCAACCTGAAAATCTGTATTCAACAAAAAAAGGCTTGAAAAATTATCCATGGGTTGAAGAAAAGCTACTTTTTCATTGGTTACAAATGATATAATTATATGCAACAAAAATTGTGCTTGAAAAATAGGAAAATTCTGCTTATAAGTGCTTGAATTTTGCATTGGATGTCTGTACGAAACCTGGTTTTTTGGTTCAATATATTTATGTTATACTGATGGATAACTGGTTTTGTAACAATTTTGTGTGATTAACAGTCCAATGATTATTCTTCTTACTTGGGAGATAATTGGGAGTCTAATTGAAGCTATACAGAGCAGTATATATCTACTTTTATTTTGTTCGCATTTCTTACATTACATAATACATATGTATTTATATTTGGTTTTGATTTTTTCAGCACCAAAAGTTGATAACATTACATTAACAAGCTGTTTGGTGGAATGGCAAGCATGTAAACGTATGGGAGAGGACAGGATAGTATACGTACTGCAATTACAGAGTAGAGATCATGAATATAAACAGGTATGTCAACATTGTAATTCTACAACTAACAAGTCTGCTCTTTCACATTACAACCATAAACTGCTGAATTTCTTAACTGCACTTGCAGAGATATGTTTTTTTAAAATGAGTGGGGCATGCATAAAATCATTGGCAAACCTTCTGAAATACCAGCCAAATATTTTCTTCCAAAACATTTTAATCATATTTTTGTAAAATATTCATATATAATAATTACATTGACATTCTATGTTACAAATTTTTCAAAAATTTACCATTGCGTTATAAAAATTACCTGTCGCTTTTACTGTTTTTTTTTTAAATCTCGATGAAATATGTAATCAGACATAGCTTTGTACACTTTTATCAAGAGCTAATTTAGTAGAAATTTTTTATAAAAAATATTATTGATATTTTATTTGTTACACTTTGATATATTTTTATGCAGATTTACAAAGGGTCAGAGACTTCATATAGCCTTGATAATCTACAGTGTAAAACTGACTATCATGTACGTGTATGCGCTATCAGACAATTCAGTGATGACAGTGAAATTAGCGGGGCGTTTAGTCCTGGTCAGAATTTCTCAACGGCTAGTCCGGAACCTGTTAAAAACATCATTTCACCATTGGCGGAGACAAAAGTGTCGGAACGTAAACAATTGACAGATCAGCAGTTAGCAGCGTTATTCGTGCTAGGGATCACTGTGGTGGCTGTGTTAATTGCTTATATAGCCCAGTCGTTCTTGTCGTACACGTCCGGATCTGGAAATATTCGTGATGAAGTGTGATAAAGTAGCAATGTTGTTGGGGGATGATGTTGGAGAATATATATATATTATATATATATATAAACCGTTACGGATATAACAATAACAGAGCTGGAATTCTGTACAAAATGTTGTGATTCTATTGTTCCTTGTTCTTTTATTTCTTTGGCATTTAAAAAAAAATTCTTTTTCGTCATTTTATAATTTTTTCTTTCTTTTTTTTTCAAAGAAATTTTTTTGTCCATGTGCAGGCACAATGACTTTTGTATTGTTAAGAATATTATAGTGCTATGTTATTTATAATGACACGAGACCGAGTTATTTGGCTAAGTTGTAAAACAGCTGATAAGTGATTCTTTACAATTTATGTAAAATGACTTTCTGTAAAAAAAAAATTGTCAACCTTCCCTTGTTGTTTAAATTATTAGGTATAGAAGTGAAAAAGTTTTCACCAGTTTTCAATATTGATTTAATACCAACGATGAAAATATGCATGAAGATCAAAGAAACAAAACTTTTGGGCATAATATATCTGAGTCTTGATTTTTGAATGTTATTAATGTATATATAAATGGTCTTCATGAAAATTATTTAAAAAAAGAAGTAAGTGTAGGTCTCATTATTTTGCTTGTTGCACTCTGATATATTGCCAAACTAAATTCCCCTTTTTTCTAGGGAAAGGGAAGTAATTAGATTATGGAGGTGATCACATAATTGGTGAGAGTTACCTCCCTTGCATAAATTTCATTATTATATGATTAACATTATAACATGATTATAAAATGCACACCTCTGTGTTCGAATCACATACAGGATTATTTTGTAAGGCTGGTCCAAGATTTCATTTAAGTTTATACAATTTTTGTGCCAGTTGTTTCATTTTGCTTAAAAAAAATTTTTTTTCATTGTCATACTTTTATGATTGTGAAAAGTTCTATTCAGTTTTCATATAGCTGAGTATAGGACATTTTATTTTCTTTGGTTGTTTCTTATGAATGAAATAGTGGAATATATAGGAACAAATGTCAGTTTATCTTCATTGTTCAATCTTGGGAAATGGTATATATCAAAAGATAGGGTGTTTATTATTTTTATTAAGGTCATGGCCACATACAGCATTTTTCATATTTTAACTTTTTTGGGGGATAAAGTATTTCAACATTAATGACTTCTGCATCTTAAAAAGACTTATGTTTTATTTGAAAGCTGGAAGCAAAAGTGATTGATACTATGATTAAGAAATTAGACCAAAGATGAAGAAAGAGGAAACAGATAATTAAAAAAGAGCATGATATTAGTTTGAAAATAGCCAGTTTCTAAACTGTTAAGTTTTTGTTGGATTAAATAGAATCTGGGATTGTGTATATATACACATATTATTTTATTATTCATTATTTTAAAAAAATATGGGCTTTGTCCATAAATATTTATTGTGTCAATGCTAAAAACATATACTTGTGTAAATCTTTCATTTTCATACAGGCATGTTTTATGCCACTGCTGTGAAGGTCCTATTAGTTCATTGTTGCAAATTAAAAAACAAAAACCAATTTGAAATAACTCAATTGATAATAAAATATTTGTATGATACTGTATTGCAGTAGTGGTAGACTCAAGTAAAATACTTTTTACTTTCATGACAAGTGGTTTATATCATTTGAGTTATTCAGTGTCTAGAAATTTCTTGACTTCCTAAAATGATTATGATTATACTGAATGGTCCTAAATTGTCAATTTAGATAAACTTGCTGTATTTCCTCTATGGATAATCTCCCCAAACTGAGAAATCTGGTGAAATATTTCCCTGTTTAAAGCATTTGTTTATTTCCTTATTATTGTAAGGAAAAATTTATAAATTTATGGTGTTTTTATTGAGAAATGAGCCGTGTCATGACAAAACCAACGTAATGCGTTTGTGACCAGCATGGATCCAGACCAGCCATGCTGTTCGCTTACCAACTCTGTTACAAGTAGAGAAACTGATAGCGAACAGCATGGATCCTGATCCGACTGCGCAGATGCGCAGGCTGGTCTGGATCCATGCTGGTCGCAAACCCAATATGTTGGTTTTGAAATGACGCGGCTCAAATTGTTAAAACTTTTTTGTTTGTTGTTTTAGTTAGAGCTTCATCTTGCTTGGGTAACAAATTGTCAAAAGTTTTTTTTCTTGAAAATCATCTTGCCATTATTTTTACATGCATTGGGTTCATTTATGTGTCTTTTTCCTCATTTCACCATTTGAAGAATTTTGTTCATTTGCATTCGATTTTGCAGATGAAAGATTTTGTTTTATGCCTTTTAGCATATTACTTTGTTCAGAATGGCATGTATTTTGTATTTATAGAAAGGCCAAGGATATGAAATGGCTAGGAATGGTTTCATGTCCCCCCCCCCCCATCATGCCATTGTTATATATATATTAAATATAATGTTTGTGGGTTTATATATTTTTTTTGTCTGGACCAGAAAAAAAATCTTACTAGATCTGATTTTCATCCCATTTTTGTTGCTTTATGTGGGAAGTAGAAATGACTTACTATTTGTTATAGTGGCCGTTACATGATTGTTAACTGTTAAAGCAGCATGCCTACAGATTTATGCAAAAAAAAATTATTAACATTTTGAAAATGTATTCAAAAGTAAAATATTGTTAAGTTAATAAAGAAAGTAATTTACAAATTGCGAACAGCACTTACGATTCACATAGATTACCAAAAACAAAAGTCATAATATGCAAATATAGCCTGAGTTATTTACACAGTAGAAATGTGGTGATAAACACAAAATATGATGATAAATATTACAAAATATATAACATGCAAATTATTACTTGAATCTTTTAACTTTTCTTTATATCTTAGTACATTTTTCTCAAGATTGTTGTTGTTTTTTTAAATATTTTGGCTCATCTGGAGGCATGCAGCTTTATAGTGCTTCAAACTGTAAGCAGAATCATGGTGGTTTGAAGCAATTATAGTCTAAAGAAGTGCATGGGCAGTCAATTTTAGTAAAAGATAATTAAAGTTATACAATTTATGCAAATAGTCTTTTTTTTAAATGCCTTACATTTAAAGGAATAACTTTCAAAACCAAAATGATTAGATGATGTGTTGAAAAAAAAAATAATGAACAAAAAAGTTAATTGTTTTCTTTACACAAATTTGTTAATCATGGTCTTATTTCAGCTGAGAATTAAAGTTCAGGAAAATATGAATTTCTAAATTCTAAGCCACATGCTTGCTTTTAGAAAATAGAAGTGTTGTATACAAAATTTTGTAACAGTGACTTCATCTCTGATATATAGACAAGGGTAAATATTTTCTCTAATAATGGCTCACGTTCGTATGGACCAGTTCAAATGTTTAAAGTTATTTTTTTGCATCTTATTTATTAATATTTGGCATTTTACATAATTATAAGCATTGCCTAAACACATGTGTGATTTTGAGCAAAACACACACAATATTTTGTCAAAACTGCTGTTGAAAAGGCCTAACCAAGAGTAAGACAGCATTTGCCCTGTAACTAATGATTCTTTTATACCATTGGCAAAAATCTGTTTCCAAGACCTATTTTTAGTAAAAGTTCTTTGCAAGAAAAAATGGTAATAGCTTTATAAATATAGTCAATCAATTTTGTTTTATTTAATAAAGTATACTTTATTTTTCACTTGTGGTTTTTCACTTGTGGTAACATTTTTTCCTTTACAGTGTTAAAATTGTGTCTAAAATGAATTTGTTGAGTTAATATGCAGGTGGTGACTTGTTTGAAAAATGAAATGAAATTAAATGTTTTTTTTAAATTCTTATAAATTATAGAGGTTGTATTTATTAACTAGCTTCAACTTTTGTTTGTTTATTTTGTAGGCATGCGTTTTAGGAGCATTCATTTAAAGTGGGCATTTTCAAAAATTTTGTATCATTTATATTATAAAATTTATTCTTACATAAATGAGTTAATATCAGTTTGAATATAGAAATCAACTCCATTTTAAATTTAAAAATGTATTGTTTTATTTAAAAAAAATACTGAAAAGGGGTTAGAAATTAAAAAAAATTCGGTTATGCCGAATTTTCTCTTGTGAATTTGTATAGCAACAAAATTTGCCGGATTTAAATATGACACTTATACTAATACTGTAACGTTATATGTTATAATAAATATATATATTAAATAATTTGTATATATTGAGATACATGTTAGCCTGTCTCGTGTTAGCTAATTTGCTTAATTGATGTGATATGTTATAAAAACAAAACAAAATTATTCTTGTATACAATCTGTCAGTGATTTAACTTTATAATATAATCTCATAAAATGTGGCGTTTATAAATATATATGTATATATATATATATATATATGTGAAGATAATAATGTGTTATTCAAATTATATATGAAAAAAAAAATTAACCTGTACAGAAAAAAGTATTTTATCTTGTATCTTAAATTTTTTATGCTCTTTATTTTTTCTGCCTGTTTAATTATTATGTGCACATTTCGTAAAACTGTGTAAAAAAAATATGTAAAATAATAAAAACTGTGTAAAGGGTGGTTACTAGTCATTGATTTTATGCGTAAAGTTGTGTAATGAAATTATTTCTGATATGGCTAAATAAATGTTTATTCCTTATAATTATCAATTTATTCTTCTTTAATTTTTTATGAATGGCATGGTTCGGCCCAATTTAGTCTATTTTAATAGACAAATCGTATTTGTCCAAACAGCATCTATAAGTTAGGATAGGGTTGAGTAAGGGGACGACATTAATTGTTAAAGTGAAGTATCTTAAAGAGGGTTTTTACATATCAAGTAAAAGGATATGGTTTTCTTGCTTCTTGTTGATGCATATTTCAATAGTATTTTAACTATTTAAAAAAAAAAGGATATATTAGTCAATTTGAAGAATAAAATGTGTATTTTCAGCTACTTTACTGTCCGACTTAAATCTAGTAGAAATTATCCGAATAAAAAAGAAAGTCTTGTGTGTCCGATATTTAAAGTGACCATCAAGAAATATTTTGCAGGAGTGAAATAGTATAGGTCATAGTTTCTAATGCAATGCTAAAACTTTGTACAAGTTTTACATGTTTACATAAAAATGTTGAAATACAAGTTTTACATGTTTACATTAAAATAATTTAAATACATGTCCGATGCATGTCTTAATTAAATGTTTAGCTTTGTCTGTACAAATGGACTGTCAGCAATTTAATGTAGAAAAGATTGAAGAAAAAAACGTAACGGAAAAAATTATGTCATTTTTTTTTCTATGTACATTAGATGATTTCTTGTATTTGGACCAAAATATTTTATGGCTTTTTTTTGCATGCAGTCTTTGATTTTAAAATTGCATTATTTTGCATAATAACAATCATTTTATTAGTATCTAATTGTGAGGGTTCTTTTTGTTTTTAATCTTTTTTTTCTCACTTTATAAAGTTGTTGTGTACAGAGTATTTTTTCCCTTACTTTGTGGAAAACAAATTGTTTTGATTTTTGTGTTTAAAGACAGCAGGTTATCTGAATAACCATGTTTACCTGGTAAAATAAAAGCCTGTGTTTGATTAGTTCTTTGATTCAACATGAAAAGAGAAAAACAAAACACAAAAAACTCTGCTCACCTAATTATCAGCCATTGCAGTGAACAAAATAACCCCCACATCCCATCCCATTCAGAATTGAAACAAAAAGGGACAGAGAATTTCACAGGGAATTGATGAAAGTTAAAAACATTTGTGATGAAAACTTGCTTTTGAGATAGAAAACTGGAACTATTTTGTATAGATTATGGAACATGATAGAATTAGCATCACGGATCTTCAAACAACTGGGGGAAAAAACACCTGATAAGAACAGTGCCTAAATTTTGCATTAATAATATAAGTAAAGGTATATTGGTTGGACAGATATCTTGCTGTCTTCAGATATTTTTATGTATTATTTTATTCATGGTCCTTTGCCAAAATAGGTCATTTTAAGAATGAATAGGTATGTGTTTGACCATACAGATGTAAAATAGAAAAAAAAGTCACAGTCGAGAGGATTTAAAAAAAAATAATTTCACTTGTAAATACATTCATTTTTTGTTGAGAAAATGAAAAAAAATTTGGTTGGGTTTTATTTGGATATTTGTTGTTTTTGTACACAGTCCACTGAATACAATGCATGTTATGCCATTTTTTAGCTCACCTGTCACTTAGTGACAGGGTGAGCTTTTGTGATCGCTTTTCGTCCGGCGTCCGTCCGTCCGGCGTCCGTAAACTTTTACTTTAAATGACATCTCCTCATAAACCACTGAGCCAATTTCATCCAAACTTCACAGGAATGTTCCTTTGGTGGTCACCTTTAGAAATTGTTCAAAGAATTTAATTCCATGCAGAACTCTGGTTGCCATGGCAACCAAAAGAAAAAACTTTAAATATCATCTTCTAAAAAACCAAAAGAGCTAGAGCTTAGATATTTGGCATGAAACATCTTCTAGTGAGTGTCTACCAAGTTTGTTCAAATAAAAGCCCTGGGGTCAAAATTGGCCCCGCCCCAGGGGGTCATTGATTTTCCCTATATGTATATAGTAAAAACTTTAAAAATCTTCTTTTAAAGAACCCAAAGAGCTAGAGCTAAGAT